CCGGGCCGGTCCGTCCAGGCCGGCCGAGCCCTCGCAGCGGCGCAGTGGCGGAACGCGCGGCCGCGTGCCATTTGCCCGCCCCTCCCTCGCCCTTGCCGCGGGACCCTTTCCTCCGCTTCCCCGGCCTGTCTGGGGTGGAACCCGCCTGGCTCCTTTCTGGCCTCCTCACTACTGCTGGGGCTCACAGGGGCTGCAGAGGTGACTGCCATCGACTGTGGTCTCCGGTCACCAGAGGACTTTGTCCACATACATTTTTGAGAGCCAAGAAAGCGGCTGAAAAGAGAACAGGCCCTGCTGGGCAGCCAGGCCACGGGGTGGGGGGGGCGAGCCGCTGCTGCCCGGGACTGGGGGCCTCCTGGGAACACCATGGGTCTGTCTGGAAACAATGTGTTCAGCTCCTGTGCTCAGCTAGCTGGGGCATCGACCCAGGTCCTGAGGGCCTTGGGGTCACGGGAGGCCTGGGTGCGTTGGGAAGCCCAGCGACCCCGAGACGGTACTGGCGTACTGGGAGGCCCGCCGTGACGTCAGCCGTGACGTCCGCCGGGAGGCCCCGTCCCTGGTGCCCGGGGTGGTATGTAAACCTGCTGCAGCGGCCTTGGGCGGGAGCTGCGCGACTGGAACGGTGATCATTCCACTGATACACGCCGCCGCCGCCCGGAGCCGCTGGTGGCCGAGGCCTCCCGCCGCCTCCTCCCAGAAAGGGGTCCTGCCCTCCAGGGGTACACCCGCTGGGCCCGGGCACCGAGTTCCGCCAGGCCGTACAGGGGCCGGCCGCTGCCGAATGACCCCCAGGTGTGGGCCCAGGAGGGAGAGCCGCTTCGGGCGGAATTTCGTCGTGTTAGAGATCTGAAAAATATCCGGGTTACAGATCTTCCCCCTAAAGCAGCACCAGCACCATCACCACCACCATCATCATCATCATCACCACCAGCACCATCATCACCATCACCACCACCAGCATCACCATCACCATCACCACCACCACCATCATCATCTCCTCCTCCTCCTCTCCCTCCCCTCCCCCTCCCTTGTTAACCCTGCCCCACGATCCCCAAACACCTTTGGACAGGCCCCCGCTCCCAGGGTGGATTTTAGGGAAGGAGCCAGGGCGCAGCCCCACTGATGGGAGAGGGGAGGGTCAGAGCAGCAGGAGGCGGAGGGAGGGCAGAGCAGGGGGCACTGCTCACTAAAGCCCAGATGTGGCCCAGAAAGTGACCAGCCAACGACGGGGACCCCTTTCCTTTCCCCTTTCACGGGCGCTTTGGACGGGCCGCGGGCGCGGCCGGCGAGGGTCACAGCGCCCTCGCGGCCCCGCACGGAGGACGGGGGCCATCGACCTCCGAACTCCTGCTGCCCCTGCGGGCCCAGGGCGGATCCCAGCGAGAAGGGCGGCCAAACCCGGAGTCCAGGGC